AAAGCAGAAGTGAATTAGAAAAGTACTGAATATTAGTTTTTCGCTACATTTTCTTTTTAACGAAATAATCTGTTCTCAAAAGTATTGACCCTTGACTGTTCCTATTTATATAAGGGTTTACTTTTAAAATTTTTAAAATAATATATAGAGGATATAAGTGAGAAGTCGTTTGCATACGACAGATGACGATGTAATCAGTTCACAAAGTATAAAGTGTTGCCTACTCATTAGGAGCTAAGTAGTAGTAAGCTTCCAAAGCGTTACGTGGCGCTGTTTCGCGGTTTATTCGCAATATTAGGGAGATTTCATTCTACGTTAGTACTATATTTTCTATGCGCAGAGTGTAGGAACCACTAGTGGCGACTACACATTTGCGATAGGCCAATGTCGCACAATAAGTAAAGATTTTACAGGGTGGCTTAAAAACAAATGGGTCATACTGTATGAAAATTTGTTGGAAGACCATTGAAATCACAACGTAGAAGAAGGTAATTGATATTTTCAGAATTATAGTAACTATGAATGAATGAAAAAGATGAAGCAAGGGACCGTTCTGGTGAGATTTAATATACAGTGTGGAACAGCCAAATGGAATAAATTTAGTATCTCTATTATTGTGCATATTTATAATTCCGAGACACGTCGATTTCGGATTCTAAAATGACATTGAAACGCAAAAATTTCATCCCTAAATTCGAATGGCAGTTACAACCCTAAATTTTTAAATGGGAAGTTAGGGCTTGTGATACCTCATTTGAAAAGTATTTTCATTCTCTATTCAAAATTACTGTGGTTTTAATATTTATTGCAAAAATTTGCAGTAAAAAAATAAATTCATCAGTTTGACGAAATTCGCTACAGCAAACAAAAAAAAACTGAATTTCAACGAAGATGTTCAAAATTAGTTTTTTGAACGTCTTGGCCACATCCTAATCGTAAATAAAAATGTCTTTTAACGTTTTCCAACATTTGAGGCGTGACCGACCTAACCGCAATTATTATTTTTCTTCTCAAGTCAGCTATATCGCGTGGCTTAGTTTTGTATATATACTCATAAATCGAAATAGAAAGGAATCTAAGGGTGTAAAATCAGGAGGACGTGCTGGCCATTCTAGCGATCCTCGCATCACCGATTTGAAAATGTGATTCTGTTTCTGCAAAACACTGACAACTATTTATTGCTGTCAATTAACCCATTAACGCCCGAATTATTATTTTTTTTATTTTTTGGTAATTTAGCTATTAGTCGAATGATTTGCTAATAANAACTAATTTTGAACATCTTCGTTGAAATTCAGTTTTTTTTTGTTTGCTGTAGCGAATTTCGTCAAACTGATGAATTTATTTTTTTACTGCAAATTTTTGCAATAAATATTAAAACCACAGTAATTTTGAATAGAGAATGAAAATACTTTTCAAATGAGGTATCACAAGCCCTAACTTCCCATTTAAAAATTTAGGGTTGTAACTGCCATTCGAATTTAGGGATGAAATTTTTGCGTTTCAATGTCATTTTAGAATCCAAAATCGACGTGTCTCGGAATTATAAATATGCACAATAATAGAGATACTAAATTTATTCCATTTGGCTGTTCCACACTGTATATTAAATCTAACCTGGCGAACGTTCGTTATATATATTTCTATTGCTTAAATTAAAATAATAAAGAGTAGGGCATTTTATTATGATTATAATCGGATCAAAGGCTTGTTTACGCTACGAGAGCTCGAGATAGACTGTGAATAATATATGTTATGTTTTTAGGACGTAGAATAATTTAGGCGACGGTCGGAATTATGTTTCTGCGCATATGAAGGTTAAAGCTCATAAGATTTTGAAACGACTCTACAAAGTAATAACAAAACCGTGGTGGCACATGTTATTTACAAGTCTCTATATTTTATAACCATCGTTTCTTTAAATTAATTAATTAATTGTAAATATCTTATTCCTCAGAAACTTCTTTATTCGTTATCTTGATCAAAATTGCTTTTTAGTCTCCTTTTACGCCCGTCTTTGTCTCAGTACGCAAATTAACCAATTTATTTTAATATACCTCTTATCGAGTATTTTACTTACTACACATGAATAAAATAGTAATAAAAATCATAAAATTGCATGAAATTTGGTTATGCCTTTATGTGAATTATCAATTTGCAAACTATTTCAATTTGTAATCCCATATTCACTCTAATATGAATGGGCTATATATAGGTATATTTCATATGAGATGTACATATCTTGGTTTACAGTAACTGCAAGTAATAAGTAATGTGCATCTCACAGTAGAACCGGATTAAATCCACGCTCAGAATTTCATATTATAACCGCCATTTCCGCTGTCAAAAGCGACGGTAAGAGAATCCTTACTACTACAGTTAATGTCTTTGGCCAGAATCAAAGCTGACGGAGTCCAAGACGTTATGAGAACTAACTTAGTCTAACCGAGATACTCTTTACTCTTGCATACATTTATTTGTTTTAGTTGGTAGAGTCTATCAAAATGGTATATTAAATGTTAAAATTAATTAAAATATGTAGGTATTTAAACAAAAACGTTTCAAATAGAAATGTAATTTACCAATTCTGAAATATTTACGGTACTCAAAGAAAACCAGAGAAAAGGATTCGACAGAAGTGTACTAATTTGTTTGTTTTTAATATGTGGTTTAAAAACTACAGAGCCTTCATAAATGTTTACAAGCCACGTGACCGCCGAGCTTAGGCAACCCAGCAATGCACGATTAGTAGGTACTGGTAATGAAAATGCGATCGCTGATTGGTTGAATAGAATCTCGTGAAAAATCACACCAGTCACAGGCGGTGAAACAGAATGTAGCGTTTTAATGTAATCTTGATCTTACTGTTTTAATTTTACCGAGATTTAAATTGTCAAGATGAAGGAACTAAAATTACTGTTTTGTAAAAAATTACTGGTCACGTGGCTTGTAATCATTTATGAAGGCTCTGTATAGGGTGAGTCAACGCTGTGGCAGAGTTAATTCATCGCTAGAATATAATTTAGGCAAAATATATTAAAATAGGTTCATGATTGACCAAAGTAGTATTTTTTTTAAATGGAACACCCTGTATTTGAGTGGATATTTATATTTTACATGGAATTATGCAACTTTTTCGTAATAGGTACTACGTGTCAAAAATCCCGAGATATTAATATTTTAATATAAAATATTACATTTTCGGCGTTACACTTGATCGTTGCTGATATACTCGTTTTTTGAGATACAATCTAAGCGATCGTCACACATATTGCATTATGTTCACCGTAAATTCTGAAGTGATCACTGTTTATAAATGTTATACAGAGTGTTCACAAAATCGTAAAAAATGTTATTTCTTTCAAAGGCAAAATATTGTTCTCTTTAAATTAAACACCCTGTATTTTTTATTTATAAATATAAAATTGGCACTGGGTCAAAAGAAAAGATATTTAGAATTATTGTATGGAATTCCATAACCACAGCAACTGAAAGTTCGATACGGAAGAAATTTTTATGATAATAATGCAGTAAAGTGTATAGAGGACGAAATAAATCTAAATTTGAATTGATTTGAATTTGGAAGGACACACATGAACGTGATAACAATCTTTGTATAAACAGAAAGACAATAAAGCAAACTCAATAATTATATGTCAACTGAAGTAGTATTTAAAGGAGAAAAAGTCATCATATCAAAATATGTGAGAAAGAGGAACATGTGGAAAAAAGGAAAGAGAATTACGTTTATAAATGCTTTATTACTAATTATTGTTATTAAAAATGGAAAAGGCTATTTTTTTTGTAAAATATTTGAATTTGAATAAATTGTGAAACAAATTGAGGCAGCGAGCAAAGTGATCTAGACTTAATTTATACTCTTTAAATATAATCGTGAAAAACAAAAAAACTTATGAAACAGTGGTTGCAGTAATAAACACCCAGAATCTAACATGTGAGATTGAAAAAAATAAATTATTAGGTGGATATGAAATTGCAAAATAGTTCACACGCAGTGGCAGCTGGTGAGAATTAAATTGATCATGTTTTGATAATGAGTTTTTTCTGTGTTCACAAAGAGAACTTTTACGATATAAAAAATTCGGATATACAGCCATTGTTTAAAATTCTAACCATTTTTTTTTTAATTATACTAGGTATTTAAATTCTAATTTGATACTTCCTATACTTATTTCAAACTTCATAATGCCGTTACTGCAAACAATTACTTAAAAGAATACCTATTTGGTATTGTATTATATCACGAGTAAAACAGCAACATCTTCGGAGTTAAATGTAATGAAATACAGAATGTCTAAAAATTCCGTTCTGATATTTGGAGGGGTGGTTCTTCATAAAAATAAGAAAAAAAATTTATATGAAAATCCTAAGGATATATACTATAACTATTACAAAGATACTAAGTAAAACTTTTGGAACAAATTAATAGTAAATAATATTATATTGCTTTTTTCAGAAAATGTGAAACTTTTAGTAATATATTCATTGTTTTTCACCTTTAAAAATCATAAAAACATTTTTAGAAATACAATGAAACAAGAAAAATAAGAAGATAAACAACTTCAACGAGAAAGTTATTGATCACTTCGCATCCAAAAGGATCGGAGGATCAATGGCTATATCAATTATTTGCAGTATGTTAACTGTTTAAATTGATCTATTTTCTTCTAGATCCACGAACCTCTACTGCTAACATCAAATAATCGCTCAAAATAAGTATTTGCAGAGAGTCTAAGTTCAATCTATGTGTAGATTTAACGTGATTACATTTAAATGCTAATATCTTCCTTATTATTGCATAACAAGGTATAAAAAAGCAGCATAGCACATAATTTAATTAAGATGCGGTTATGTACTGCCCTGAAATATCCACCTTCCAACCTCTTCTAGTTATTACTGATAAAATTAATATTATATTTCTTTTTATGTACGACTCCCGTAATTCGCTACAAAATAATATCAATAAACAAAATCCTCACCTGGAGTTATGAAAGGATAACAGGCGTGGGGCTCCAGGTGGTGGTGGCACTGTTGGTCGTGGTCGGGCAGAGGCGGTGGATACTCCTCCTCGGGGGACCGTTCCGAACCGTAGCCTTGATCGCAGAGCGCCGTCTGGTTGTCTGAGAACTTCCAATGCAGCGGCGCCCCGTCTCCCAAAGGTGGTATCCTATCGACCTGAAAATATTCGATATTCATGTAAAGCCCCGATTTCTCATCGTTTAACACTTGGATAGAACTTATATCGTGAGTAACACTGCATTCGGAACGAATATATATACAGTGTGTCCCTTTAAGTTACAAAGGTGTAACTTTTTCATAAGTTATGCTTTTTGAAAAAATGGTATTCAAATTTTCAAACTTGAGATAGCGTACACTGGGTGGCCAAAAATGCAATAAAATCAAATTTGACAAGGGAGAAGTACAATTAATTTTTATTTTAGAGAAAAATGTAATGGAAAAATGTTACTTAGAATTAAAAATAAAATCTGTTTAGATTCGTAACGTCCTTCTATTTTTTTTTGTCCATTTAGGTTCTCTACAAATAGGTAACTTTTTATTATCAATTTGACGAAAAAAAGATATTTCTTATAAAAAGATCTGTTTTTTGAAAAAGTTGTATTAATTTTTCACATTTGTGGTAGCATATACAGGGTGGCCAAAAATGAAAAATCAAGCTTGGAACGTGAATAGGAGACTTTGTTTTCCGGCAATATTGAAGCAAGATATTTTTCAAGCTTTGCCATCTGGATTACTGATTAGTTACAAAACCTGATCTAATTTTTTTCGATCATAAAAATTCTACACCGGTTGCGGACTGGTCTATAGCAATATTAATTGAGAAAAATTGCGCTAGAAACCGTATATCGTTCTAATCTGACGTATTCCACAAAATTTGACAATTTCACTTTTTTTGAAAAATGAAATCATAATAATCTTGTGAAGCTGAGGTTTTCGAGGTCAAATTGTTTATTTACCTACTATGTATTTTTAAATAAATACTCTAATATGTCATATCCCACATGCCGATTTTCACGTATTTTAATATGTCGTATCCCACATACTAAGACTAAGTTAACATTAGCTGCCACACTTGATTGTCCCATCGCTAGTCGATTAGTTTTAAGAAAATTTTAACTTAAAAAAAATAAACCAGAAGGTAATTAACATTTTTTTAATACAATTTATGTAAATGCTTTTTTTTGCCTCAATCATTATTACTTGTACATGTTAATTAGCGTAAGAAATTATAATTAACTTATTTTTTTTTTAATTATGACAGTGAGACGTTTTTAGAGTATCCTGAAAAATTTCCCCTATGTGGGATACGTCATATTAGAACGAAGGTATCGAAATTCGTCTAAATTTATAAGTTGTTGACATTAATTTAAAAGAATAATAAAAATAAAGAATAATAATAATTACTGAAGAATATATTAAATGAAATAAATTAAAATGTACCACTTAAGACTTGTAATATTAATGATATCGAAATATGCCTAACCCTAGGGTCCGTTTAATAAAAAATGTTTAACGTGTCGATTTATTTATTTTCTAATGAGCTGTATAAATAAAATACAAATATGAGGTAAAATTGTAATTATTAGTAATATCTAATATACAGGGTGGCCTAATGAAAACGAAACAGAGCCATTTCCAGGAACTGCATCAAGATTGTAGAAAAACGCTCAGACCCGTCGATTTTAGATTAAAGGGGGACATTCTTTGCTAGTATTTTTGACTCCGCTACTTTCACCCCCAAGCAACGGTAAGCATCACCCCAAAATATTTAAATGGCATTGGGGGAAAAAAACGAGAAACTGAAAAACCTATAGTTAATGAAGTTAGTTAAGTTGCAGTTTTGGGACAAGTTCATCTTGATCCTACATTAAGTACGAGGCAGCTGGCATCTGTGGCTGGGATCAATCGAACCAGCATACAAACAATTTTGAAGAAGAATAAATTCCATACATACAAAATACATTTAGTTCAGGAACTTCATGAGGATGATTATGACCGCCGTTTGCAATTTTGTGAAATAATGAGTGAGCGAGCAGGCAACGATCCACAGTTCATTTTTAACACCTGTTTTTCTGATGAATGCAGTTTTTTCTTGAACGGGACGGTAAATCGTCACAATTGCCGCTATTCGTCCGATTCAAACCCATGAGTTTTTCACGAGGTGCATAGGTACACAACAACCGGAAAAATTAAATGTATGGGCTGGAATTTTCGGTGACCGACTGGTGGGTCCTTTTTTTCTACCTGGTAATTTGACTGGCCAAATGTATTTGTAATTACTGGAAGACGCTATTGATCCTGCCTTGACCGATATTATTGAAAATGTTCCAGAGTATGATGAAGATCGTTTGATTTTTCAACAGGACGGTGCTCCTCCACATTATGCATTTCTTTTTGTGGGGATACCTAAAAAGTAAAATCTATAAAACACGGCCAGCGTCACTGGAAGTTTTGCGACAAACAATCGTCGACGAATGCCATCGAATCACTCCGGAAGTACTTCAGAATGTGCGCGAACGTTTCGAACAAAATCTTTATTCTTGTATGGAAGCGGGAGGTCATCAGTTTGAACATTTAATCAACTAACTAGTTAGTAAGCAACTAAACATAATTTAAATTTTAAAACGTAAATTTTTTTCAAAGTATTGGGCGGAATTATAAAATTTAAAGTCTGTTGTAAAGAGAATTGTAAGAGCTTTCAAAAGAAATATTATTCAACCCCCAATGCCATTTAATATTTTGGAGTGATGCTTACCCTTGCATGGGGGTGAAAGTGGCGGAGTCAAAAATACCAGCAAAGAATGTCCCCCTTTAATCTAACATCGACGGGTCTGAGCGTTTTTCTACAATCTTGATGCAGTTCCTGAAAATGGCTCTGTTTCGTTTTCATTTGGCCACCCTGTATATCCAGAGTAAAAATAAAAACTGCGTATAAATCAATATGTTTTAAGATAACTTTACATCTGCTTTTATGAAATAAGACATATATTAGTTATTATTATAAGATTTGAAAGTCAGAAGTTTTATTCTTAATGTATATACTTCTAAGTTATTTTTATCTCGTCAAACTCATTCATGCATTCAGAAATTTTACATCGGGTTCAATGAAATGTTTATTATTTGTTTTTTCAAGTGGGATATATAGCAGTAGTGGAAATAAATGCACGAAATGCGACTTCTTTCTGCCTTTAACAATGTGAAATATAAATTATGTTTCGATGTTGTTACTTTGTAAGGTTGTTGGCAATTGTAACTGGTTGTGTTATTATAATTTTCCGTGTTATACTTATAAAAATATTTTACCACAGAAAATTACTTAATGCAATAGATCTGTTAAGAGTTACAATGAGTAAATATTTTAATAAAAATATACAGAGTACAATTGCGGAAGCATCAATGTCAAGACTGATTCTTTTGATTTTGATTCCTCAAAACAAATAAAAAATTAGGGTAATACCACTATTATTGATCTCTACAGTCCCTTAAAACCAGGAATGAAAAACACAGTTTTTGTTTACTTACACAATAGAAGTGTTGGATTAGGTAGGACTTGAATATTATACATTTGATTTTAATAGACCATTTACAAAAAAAACTTTGTTCTGTAGAGATTTTTTTCTCATACTCATTGTATGGTATCAATACCTGTAAAAATTCAAAAACCATAACGATGTTAGAAATACATCCTCAGCGGTCCTTAACTAAAAGCCAATTATTTAACTATAATTTCAGAACTATTAGAGGTATGTAGTTATGAAAAAGTTTAATCTGTATTTCATTCCAAACACAAATTTGTGAAAAACTTTGTATTATACTGATTTTCAACTAAGCTACTTAATGACAATTGCATTTTATGTAAAAATAGACAAAGCACTAAGCTGAAATTGGAATAAGATGTCTTTTTAATATAAATTCCAAGTCGATTTATGATTACTGGCTCTCAAAAAAGAGGTTAAAAAATTTTCAGTATTTTTTTTATTAGCAGACATTTATTTGGCTACCAGCTTCTACATTATGCAACAGATCTTCAAGTCGCTTTTAAGACTGCAACACGAATATAAAATTTTATATACAGCGTGTCAACTATACAGGGTGTTCCACTTTTCCTGGACAGACACCAACTTTGTTTTTTTAAATGGAAACAAACATTTTTTATATTTTTTTCGGATTCTACATCAAAAATAAAGCGTACTTTGTATAGAATAGTTCTATTCAAATATTCACAATTTTTGAGATATCTCGCTTGAAAGGTTTTTCTAGTCGATATTGGTTGCTTACATTTTCTGATACTGACAGGTTATACTAATAGCTACTAAGCCCATTTTTTTATCAGTTGTTTAGTAAGGACGACTCTTCCGAATCATGCTCCAAAAACTGGAATGCGTTATACAGGGTGACCAAAATATCATGTCAAAATTGCCAATTGAAAAATTGAAATATCTCGATTTTTTTAAATGAAACGCCCTATATATTTTCATATCATTAGATGCAGAATTAAATTCTCTACAACTTTGCTATACCTGCTCCTATACCAAAATTCATTAGTTTTTCATGAAATCTCATTTCTATGAAAAAATGCGAAGTTTACAAATAGCTTATATGTAAAATAACGTAGTAGGCTCCTGTCAAAGGATAATCTGGATAATTTTCGATTCACATAAGGTTTAATAGAAAAGCGACAGTAATAATTGTGAAATGAATTACTCTAAAGAAGAATTAGTAAATAAATAATAGAATAATTAGTAAAACTCATGGTAACTGTTTATTGGCAAGTCGTATTTACCAAACTAATAATCCAGATTTACAAAGATATCCTCGTACAAAGTGTTTTGTAAAACTGAAGGAGAGGTTTGAAAGAACAACAAATACAAATTATGAGAAGACAACAAGAACACACGCATGCAGTCTCCAAAACAGTAAATTAACATCGTGCATTTCTAACAAAAGTAATAAAGACCTAGTTAAATTAGTAATTAACAGGTAACCGCTCAAAATGTCTGCCATTTTTCTATAGACATTGAGCAATTCTACGACGAAAATTGCTTGACACATTTCGCAGCATTTCCGGAGTTAGGGTCAAAAAAGCATTTCTTATCTTTGCCCGTAAATCTTCTACATCTGTCGGAGGAGTTTCATACACCCTGTCTTTTATATAG